AGAATTATTTGGGAACTTTTCTGTTTCATTAAATAATTGTTCCAAACAAAGCTGAATAGATAAATAAAATGAATAATTACAAATAGTCTTATTTTTTAAATTAAGGACAATTGAAATAGAAAGTATTTTTCAAATAGAAATTGTAGTTTGTTTTAATTGAGAGACTTGGCAAAAAAAGGAGAATTTTTTGGCACTACTCGAAGATATTTTTGGCATTTGTACAGGGATGTTTCTCACAAAAGGGTGCAAGGCATCATCAGGGCTCCTCCCTGAGGTCTTCTCTTCTAGTGCCACCAAAGAGTCATTTCTGATGTCCTAGACGTCAAAACTATGTGGTGGATGAGGATCAATTAAGAGAGAGACATTGTCAGACTAGATAAAAGCAAGTTGCCACTATAACATGAGAAACTCTACACCATGCAAATACTAACCAAAAGTGACCATGAGCTCCCACCTCACACCTGTCAGAACTGCTAAAATTAACAACTGAGGAGACAACAGATGTTGGTGAGGGTGCGGAGAAACGGAAACCCTCTTGCACTGTTGATGGGAATGAAACTGGTGAGGCTACCCTGGAAAACAGGATGGAGTTTCCTCAGAAAGTTAAAAGTACAACTACCCTACAACCCAGCAATGGCACTACTAGGTATTTATCCGGAGGATATCAAAATGCTGATTTGAAGGGGCACATGCACTCCAATGTTTATAGCAGCACTATCAACAATAGCCAAAATATGGAAAGAGCCCAAAGAGCCTTCGATGGATGAATGGATAAAGAAGATGTGGATTATATACATCTACAGTGGAGTATTACTTAGTGATTAAAAAGAATGAAATCTTGCCCTTTGCAACAACATGGATGGAACTAGGGTGTATTCTAAGCAGAGTAAGTCATTCAAAGACCACAAGACAATTCATATGAATTCACTCATTTGTGGAATTTAAGAAACAAAACAGATGCACATAGGGGAAGGGAAGGAAAAATAAAATAAAAACAAAGACATAGGCAAACCATATGAGACTCTTAAATATAGAGAACAAACTGAGGATTGCTGGAGGGAAGGTGGGTGGGGAGATGGGCATTAAAAAGGGCACTTGATGAGGGTGCCTGGGGGGCTCAGTTGGTTGAGTGTCCAGCTTTTGGTTTCTGCTCAGGTCATGATCTCAGGGTTTGTGGATTCGAGCCCTGCATTGGGCTGCATTCTGATAGGGTAGAGCCCGCTTGGGGTTCTCTCTCCGCCCCTCCCTCCTCACATGCATGCTCGCGCTCTCTCTCTCTCTCTCTCTCTCTCTCAAAATAAGTAAACTTAAAAAAAGTTTAACTTCTTGGGATGGGCACTGGGTGTTATATGTAAGTAATGAGTCATTAAATTTTCCTGAGACTAACACTACACTATATGTTAACTAACTTGAATCTAAATTTTAAAAAAATCCCACAAAAAGGTGATATATTCTATTACGTAAGTTTGAGAAATGAAGAAAGGCAAAATAAAAAGTTTTTATCATCTTGTTAACAGCAACAACAAAAAAGAAACTAGAAATCAGTAACAAAAAGATACTTGGAAAATTCCCAAATATTTGGAAGTTAAACAGTATACTTCTAAATAAGCCATAGGTTAAAAAAAAAAAAAAAAAAACAACCCACCAAACCAAACCAACACAAAAAACCTCACAGGATTAGGTTATTTCCTTTTGAATAGAATGAATGTTTTTGTTTTTATTCAGTTCAAAATTGAATGAATGTTGAATATATGTATCAAATTTTGCAGAATGTAGCCAAACCACTGCTAAGGGAGGTGTTTACAGCGTTAACTACATACATTAGAAAAGAAGAAAGGTTTCAAATTGGTCGTTTAAATTTCTACATTAAGAAAGTAGGAAAGAAGAACAAATTAGGCCAAAAGCAAGCAGAAGGAAGAAAATGGTATAAAAATCAGAAATGGAAAGAACAATGAAATCAAAAGTTCTTTGAAAAGATCAGTAAAATGTGATCCATCTTTAGCCAGACCAAGTTAAATGGAAGGACACAGATTACCATTAACAAGAATAAGAGAAGAGATTGCCATAGTCACTAAAAGGATGATGGGAAATATTATGAACAACTTCATGCTCATATATTTAACAACTTAGGTAAATTGGAAACATTCCTTGAAAGATACAAATTATTAAAGTTCATTCAAGAAGAAATAATCGGAAGAGCTTTATGTTAATTGAAGAAATTGATTTCATAGTTGAAAACCTTCCAATAAAGAGAACTCCTGGCCCAGGTAGCTTCACTGGAGAATTCTGCCAAACACTTAAGGAATTTATAATACCAACTCTACACAGACTTGTTCTGAAAGTACAAATCAGTATTCTTCATGAATATAGAAAAAATCCTCTGCAAAATACCATCATTTTAAGCTAAATTTGTTTAGGAAAAACTGATTTTGACTATAGTATCAAGTACTAGAACTTAAACAATCTGAACACAAGTAACCATAATTTTCATTCACATGAATCAGAAGCCAGGACAGATCATTGGTAATGAAGGGAGGCTCTGTGATACTGTGAGTTCACTTAAGACCTATTTCTGCTGGTTATCTAGTGGTATATATCCAGGGAAGTCTGCCGCAAGCCTTACTACTTATAAAAAGGTATTTGGAATTGACTCTCTTCTGTTCCTCTTCCTGGATAAGCTAAATCTGCCATCTTCTTCAGCACTTCTATAGCCCCATGCTTGCATCTGATAGATTTATTCTGATTTTTTAGAAGTGGTACTGGCAAATCCCAAAATTTGTTTGGGATTTGAGAAATCTGAGATGTTAGCTGTAGAAACTGAAGAAGTGATCGCCCCAAGGACCAGACCCAGGGTGATACAGTTAACTCCATTTATTATTTACTGTATTTTGAGGCCATACAGACGTTTTAGAGGTCTGCTTGAAACTTATCCGGGCCTCATGTCTTAGGGTCTAGGATAAACTAGACATCCATTTTAGGGATGGTTGATTTCTCTAGAGTTTTCTCAGATACTTGTTTTTAGGGAGGCAATGAATTCTCAACCAAAACTCTTCATAATTAATAAGCGATCATGGACTGTATATTGTATAAATTTGGTAGATTCTATGGCAGTCAAACAATGAGAAGACCCTGGGGTCAGACACCACCCGCCTAGACCCCCCAATCTGACATAAGCTAGCTTCTGCCACTTGGTGTCTTCATAGGTTTTGAGTCTGGAGAACTTGACCTTGCCTAAGTTGCCTGGAGAAAACCAGAGTGTCTGCAGCATGGGGAGGGAGGGGGCCAGGGCTGCACAATCAAGGGCTGGATGGGTCATGCAGAGGATTTTAGATTTCGTTCTCCGTGCAGGGGCAACCACTGAAGGGTTTAAATGGGAGCAGTAGTGTCATCAGGTGGTCACCCATTTCTTCTGGCCTTGGTCTGGAAAGTGGATGGGAAGAGGTCAAGATGTCTGTGGCGGGGCCTGTGGGGGAAACTACCACCATGCAGATGCTGAGTCCCACCTGCCCTACATCCTTTTAAACCTAAAGTGGAAGCCTGTACACTTTTAGAGCTACTGTGCAAAATGGGAATGTTCTTCTCATAATAAGACTTCTGCCAACTCTCATAGACCCGTGTATTCCATGCCCTTCTGCTCAAGTCTGTGACATAAGCCGAGAATGTGATTCTGGGCATTGACCCCCCCTCCCCCCCCAATATGCTGAGATTGAAGCTCAGAGTGACTAGCCACCAGGATAATATTGCTATTGACTGCTCTATTTGTAACATTTTAAATGATCTGGTATCCACCTTTACCATATCAGTGTTTGATTTAACACGAAACTATTGTTCTCTAAATCTTTTGTTACCTGTTCTCATTTTATAGACCAGGGACTCTAAGACTCAGGAAAAGTAAACTACTTTGTTCAAGGTCATATACCAACTAGGTGGTGACACCGGCTTTGAAATGCAGGCTGACTGCTTAGTTGTTGCTCTTATTAAGTTCACTCTTCACTCCTTGGTGCCTAGAACAGTTCCTGGAAGCCCCTCAGGAAATAGATATTGGGTGCTTTTTATGGGAAAAGTCTGGTGCCACCTGAATCGCCTGGGTTAAGGCCAAGCTTGAGTTGTGCGAAGCTGGGCAGTCTGTGCTCCCAGGCATTCTGTGTACACTGGAATAACTGGTTTCTCCCTTCCTCCTGTGTGCCCTCGGCACTTGGTAGCTCTTCTCCACTGGTGAAGTAGTAATTGTGGCATACTCATTTGTCTCTCTGTCATGTCGTGACCTCTGGAGGATGGGTCTTAGGTCAGGGTCACCTCCTTATTTGCTAGGCCTGACGTAACAAGGACATGTTAAATATGACTGAGGGAACACTGGGGTTGTAGGAGTTGGCCTGGGTCTCGAGCCAGAGAAGACTGGCACATGGCTCCTCCGTCCACCTTGCTCAGGGCCAGACCCATACTAGAACATGAGCGAGAGCCCAAGAGTGGGCAGAGGTAAGGCTGCTGAGGGGGCCATCTCCAAGGAATCCAGTCCTTACTCCAACACAGCATCCTTGGGTCTTGAATCCCCTTGACCATTAGATCACAGGGGAAAAAAAGGTGCGTCAAAGCTGAGCCCAGCTGCAGAAAGCACAGTGGTGCTGGGGCTGTGAGGCCAGGAGGGAGGGAAGTGGGAGGATGCATTCCGTCATGGCCATGTTCATTTTCTGGATATAGTTGGCCATCAAGTACAATAGTCTACAAACAACTGGAAATAGAAGTCTGGAGAGAGGGAGGGTGGGGGCTGAGGGTGAACGTCGGGTGTTGGCCTCCAAAATTCTCTCACCCCCTCTTCTGGCCACCTGTAGCTGCCTGGAGTGTTCTCTGTACTGTCTGAGGTATGAGGTCTATATCTTAACTGGATTCAGTCTCCTCAGCTTTCCAGTGGACATTTTGTTCATTGTTCATATTCTCTGTGTTTTTACCATTCACTGAGTCAGTTTAATTAATTTTATATGTCATGTTTTTTTTTATTTCAGAAAAACTGTACAACTCCAGTGGGCGAGATTTAAGAAGGGCCCTTTTCTCCCTGAAGCAGATATTTCAGGTAAAAAAAAAAAAGTGACAAATGTGCTCATAGGTCCTGTTTTTGCATTGCTTATGGAATCAGATACAGACCTGTGTCTGCCTCTTACTGGCAACAGATAGAAAAGTTTCTTTAGATTAAAATGTCCATTAGGTCAGAGTCTCAGTTGAGCATATTTTTACTGTAATGTCTGAAACCTAAGAAGTAAAGACAACTTTACCAAATCATCTTTTTCCATCTTGACTTAAGACTTTTTTAAAAAAGAAAACCCTACTGCAGATAAAATTGAGATCTTGTATTGTCTCCACTACCAACCATCTTCCTCCCACCCCAGGACCCCTCTCTATCCATGTCCTCATGCTGTTGGTGAATATTCACCAAGAGGATCTATATCCTTTGTTACTTCATACACGTTAGGCTGCATGGATCGTACTCCAGCTTACTTACTGCACTTGGGATAGATGGAGGCATGATTGACGTAGCTCTGAGTATTCTGTTGTATGAGTAAAGCATAGTTGGCCTTGTTCAGTCTTCTCTAGGCAGGCGGTTTGGTGTAATCCCAGTGTTGGCTGTTTTAGAAACCGTTCCACTGTGGATATGTCCCTTGTGAACATGTGCAGGTTCTGTTTTATCCTTTCTTCCTAAGCCTTCCCTCTTCCCCTGCCCTGAGAAAGCCCTGGTCCTGGTGAAGAAGGCTAGGACAGGAGAGCAGGCAGGCTGCAAGATGCTCACTGCTATAACATGGCAGAGGAGAGAGGGACAGAGCCAGGGGAGGAGGGAGAGGCTGCTGCCTGAGCAGAGTCAGGAGATGGCACGTGCATTGAGTGTCTGTTTTTATTCCTACGGTATATGCCACTTCTCTTCAGTTCTTAAAGATGTTCTTACATTTTCTTTGTGAGTGATAGTTCTTTTTTTTAAAAAAAATTTGTTTTTAATATTTATTTTTGAGAGAGAGACAGAGCGCAAGTTGGGGAGGGGCAGAGAGAGAGAGGGAGACACAGAATCCAAAGCAGGCTCCAGGCTCTGAGCTGCCAGCTTAAACTCACGCATCCTTGTCTGAGTCTAGCTGTCTGCAAGCTCCCTAGATTTCATCACTGGGTCTTTGGGGCCAAGCAGTGTCTGGGGCTGTGTAAGCAACGGTTGAATAGACTGGGTGAATTGGATAGTCTTCTAGCAGATGTCTATGTCTTCAGTCTTTCTGGCTTCTAATTTAGTAAACATTATACTAATTGTCCCAAAGTTCCGTCTGTATCTCCCTGTTCCTTAGACGAACAAAATGTTCCAGCAATTGGGGTGGACTCTCACTGTGCCACCAGAGGGCCAGGCTCATGCCACTCCTCACCCTAACTCATTAGTCCCTCCACCTGCCTGATGTTTCTGTTCAGCTTTGACTTCTTTCCAAACACGTGTTCACCTCACTGAGTATCCAGTTGGTGGCAGAACTGAACAGAGAAGAGTTAGTTATTCCAAGTGACTTTAAAACATTGTGATTTGTATACTTTGAGTAGATAAATTCTGAGAACAAAACCACACACACAGTCAACTGTTTGCAATAATCCCGTTGTTGCTGCTGGTGTTGTACTGCTGTTCTAAGACTGGTGTATGTGTTCTAATTTGGTCATTCTTAATTGGAAGTATCAGAATGAACCCTTGGTGATACAGGAGTGCTGATGCATAGGGGCACATGTACCCCAATGTTCATAGCAGCACTCTCAACAATAGCCAAAACATGGAAAGAGCCTGAGTGTCCATCAACTGATGAATGCATCAAGAAGGTGTGGTTTATCTAAACAATGGACTACTACATGGCAATGAGAAAGAATGAAATCTGGCCATGTGTAGCAACATGGATGGACCTTGAGGGTGTTATGCTGAACGAAATAAGTCAGGCAGAGAAGGACAGATACCATATGTTTGCATGTATAGGAGGATTAGGAGGAACTTAACAGAGGACCATGGGGGAAAAGAAGGGGAAAAATAGTGGAGAAGAGGGAGGGAGGCAAACCATGAGAGACTCTTGAATACTGAGAACAAACTGAGGGCTGGAGGGGGAGGGGGAGGGGGGTGATGGGCATGGAAGAGGGCATTTGTGGGGATGAGCACTGGGTGTTATGTGGAAACCAACTTGACAATAAACTATTAAAATAAAATAAAAATAAAATTTAACTCCTAAAAAAAAAAGAATGAACCCTTGGTGTTTGTTTAACAAACAAGCAAGCAACTAAGCATATTTCCAGCTCAAGATTTACCAAAAAGCACTAGAAACAATGGTCAGCCTATTACCTAAAGTACCACTGTGAGCCCCAAGGTTGTGATGTTAAGATACTGAAAGGAACCAGAGCTCTTTGGAGAAATAGCTAATTCAAAGTCTGGAGTAGGAAATGGGTAAAAAAAGAAAAAAAACCAAAAAACTTAAAGCAAGGAAGTAAGGAGAGTATCAGATACTCCTAGGATTTTTGCCAAAAGAATCCTAAGGAGCATGTTGAAGGGTCTTCTACTGGGTTTTGGAAAATAGCATCATCAATAAGGACGATAATTACTATTGATTGAAACACAACAGGTAAGTTTGCACTGATGAGTTCATAATGAAACTAAAAAATAAAAATAAAATAAAATAAAAAATAAAAATGAATAGATCATCTTAGGAAGATGCTAGTGAACCAGCTGATTATTTTGAAAATAGGTAGAGTTTTAGAATCTCACATTTATCTTACCCTTTGCCTTAAAATATTTTTTAAATTGAAGTGTAATTAATATGCAGTGTTATATTAGTTTTAGGTGTATAATATGTTAACAATTCTATATGCTTATCTATACTGCTCTTGATTCCCTTCACCTGTTTCATACATCCCGCCACCTACCTTCCCTCTGGCAACCACCAGCTCTCTGTATTTGAGTCTTTTTTTTTTTTTTTTTTTTTACTCTTCTTTTTGGTTCTGTTTTGTTTCTTAAATTCAAGTGATTTCACTTAAAATTATACCCTCTAAGTCCATTTATGTTGCTACAAATGGCAAGATATCATTCCTTTTTATGGCTGAATAATATTCCACTGTATGTATGTATGTATGTATGTGTATCTATACATATATATATGTCTACAGGCAGATATACCACATCTTCTTTATTCATTCATCTATCCATGGATGCTTGTGTTGCTTCCATAACTTGGCTATTGTAAATAATGCTATAATAAACATAGGAGTATATATATCTTTTTGAATTAGTGTATTTATTTTCTTTGGATGAATACCCTGTAGTGGAATTACTAGATCTTATAGTAACTCTATTTTTAACATTTTGAGGAACCTCCCTACTGTTTTCCACAATGGCTGTACCAATTTGCATTCCAACTCACAGTGTAGGAGGGTTCTGTTTTTCCTCCACATCCTCCCCAACCCCTGTCATTTCTTATGTTTTTGATTTTAGCCATTCTGACAGGTGTGAAATGATATCTCATTATAGTTTTAATTTGAATTTCCCTGATGATGAGTGATGTTGAGCATCTTTTCATGTGTCTGTTGGCCATCTGTATGTCTTCTTTGGAAAAATGTCTGTTTAGGTTTTCTTTCCATTTTTGAATCAGATTATTGTTTTTTGTTGTGTGTGTGTGTGTGTGTGTGTGTGTGTTTGGTGTTGAGTTGTAGAGTTTCTTTATATATTTGGGATATTAACCCCTTACCAGATGTATGATTTGCAAACATCTCCCAGTTAGTAGGTTGCATTTTTGCTTTGTTGATGGTTTCCTTTACTGTGCAAAGGCTTTTTATTTTGGTATAGCCACAATAGTTTACTTTTGCTTTTGCTTCCCTTGCCTTAGGAGACATCTAGAAAAAAATGTTTCTAGGACCGATGTCAAAGAAATTATTATCTATGTTTTCTTCCAGGAGTTTCACAATTGCGCCAAAAATAATAAAATACCTAGATATCGTACCCTTTTCTATGTGAACTTTAGGATAATGGAACAGTAGTTGAAGGGAAGTTTTGTTAATAATCTTCTAGTAATAAGGAGGAATAATAGAATTAAAATATCACAGTTTTGCTCCCCTATGTGAATTGATCTAGGCCTTGAGCCGACCTGGTGGAAATGAGATAAAGTCAGATTGTATGTGGCTCCTCTGGGGATTCACACTACCATTGATGGGTCTCACCATGTCACCCTATGCAGTACCAGTTTATAAGTGACCTAGGATACAGGCACGTGTTAATCTACACCACAGTGGTGTAATGAATAAAGTCTGGACTGTAGGCTACTCTACAGGACAGAGGACCTAGTTTCTTTTAACGTGCATTTCAAGGAAAACAAAAGATGAATTAAAAAGACCTTTAAAACTTATCAACTGAATGCCACATGTGGATCTTACTTGGATCCCGGTACAAAATGTAAAAAACAAAACCGTATTTATGAATTAGTTGGAGTTTTGGTCATGGACTGGACATTTAATACTATTAAAGCATTAGTTTTTTGTTGTGAGTACATAATTTTAAAAAGAATTTCTGTATTTTGGAGATACTTATTGGAGTATTTATGGATTAAATGATGTGATGTCTGGTATTCACTTTAAATTCATAGGCCAGCAGCAGACAGACAAATATGGGTTGATAGAGGAAACAGGATTGGTAGGAGTTGATTGGCACCTGTGGTTCACGCAACCGTTCTGTCTTTTGTATATGTTTAATGTTTCCCATGGTGAAAAAGTTTAAAAACAAAACAAAGTCAACATATTTGGGATCATCTTGCTCATTCCTTCACTGAGTTTGTTCTGTGGTGGTAACTCTGAATTCTCAGGGATGTTGTTTCTACCATGTATTCATCAAATGGATATTTTTTAGCAACCTTTACTGGTATTACGTAGTCCAGGAAGAAGGTGCCTGCTACGAGAAGTTTAGAATCTGTTTGGAAGACCACACACGTGGGCACAAAACAGCTCTAAACCAGCCAGGCATCACTGGATGTTGAATGGATTACGCAGGCTGTAAGCTGTCTAGGGCTTAGATCACTCTCTCCCATACCCACAGTCTGCATTTCAATCATCTTGTGTTTTCTACATGCAGGGGTCCTTTTTGGAACTTAGAGTGTAAGTGTGTAAAATATCAAGCCATTGGTCTTTTGTAATGAATTGAATAATATCCCTTGACTAATAGGCATAAAAAAAAAAGATTGCAGGTTGAAGTATGGCTAGTATAGTAAATTCTGAAATGCAGGGACAATCCCTGGTCAGTTAGTGTTAACATTTATATTTCATTCTAGTTGGAAACAAGTGTTTTTGTTTTATTTATTTATTTAAAAATTTTTAAACATTTATTTATTATTGAGAAACAGAGACAGAGCATGAACATGGGAGGGACATAGAGAGGGGGAGACATAGAATCTGAAGCTGGCTCCTGGCTTTGAGCTGTCAGCACAGAGCCCGACGCGGGGCTCGAACCCATGAGCAGTGAGATCATGACCTGAGCTGAAGTTGGACATTCAACCGGCTGAGCCACCCAGGCACCCCAGGAAACCAAGTTTTAAACATCACTGATTAATGCCTAAATATTTTAGGATGCGTGTTCAAAATCTCCTACATCGCCAATTTGGAGGACATCTCCACAATTTATTATCTACAAATGCCTATTTCTTAAGTGCCTTATCTACATATGTCCATAAATTTTAGTTAAGGTTCTGAATTTTCATAAACACTGTCTCCCTGGTCTGAGCTTTCCTGAGTACCTTGGCCAGGCAGCCAACTCTCGGCTGTATTAATATTAGTGATTAGCTTGAGTGGTTTCTTGAGGGCTTGTTCTCACTTTTTCACCATGAAGTCATGTGTGAATCTAGTTTTAGTTCAAGTAATAAACATTTGTTACATGCTTGGAAAAACCTTCTGACTAGACATGAGCTCATCTAAATGTTCACTTTTCACATATGCTGGTGGAAAAGGATATGGATGGAGGGAGAATTATTTTTATTTCCTTTATACATACGAGTGTAAAGTAATTTTCCAAAAACTCATGATATTGTCCCATTTTCTCTTGCTTCCAAAGCCGTGATTATCTTAAAGTCTGAGTTAACACAGCTGTCTCTCATTACCTTCAGGGCACAAGCATCCCTCCTCTCCCCCCAAGTGCCCTCTGAACGTTAAGAGTGTTTTCTTGGTTCAAAGGGAGCCTTTGCCTGGCTTGCCCACATTTAGCTCAAATCCTCCATCCATATAATTGGAAAATGCCATAAAATCAAAATGAGGGGCTGATTTCACGTAGGGACAGGAGAATTATGCGAGTTTGTCTAAATTATTTTTTTCTTTTTTGGAGATAAACTATGGTTGCTGACCAGTCCTATAATAATAACCTTTCATTATTCCATTAAGCTTCCTACTATTTACATCACTGAGGTTTTTTTTTAAATTTTGCTCTGTTGTTATAATTGAAGATGAATGTTCCAGTCTTACGCTAGCTGCATTTGAGACCAGGCACTGTCCAATTGAGGAAATCTCCTGAAACGGTAGTGGAAAAACCCCTCTCCTAGAGCTGTATAGAATTTGGTACTACAGAAAATGATTGGGCTCAGGGCTGGCTGGACATAGGTGATCCCAGCCCACATTTTGAGTCTTTTGTAAAGACAAGGTAGGCTTAGATCCGTGGTCCTTGAAATTGATTGCCCTTTAGGATTTCCTGGGGAAGTTAATAACAGGGCCCCACCCTTAGAAATTCTGATGAAATTCATCTGGGCAGGGTCTGGTTTCCTCTTTCGTTGTAAAGATCCCTGAGAAAATCCTAATGTGAGTAAGTCAGGGGTGAGAAACATCTGAGCATCTCAGAGTCACCTGGGGGATGCGATAAGCACAGATTGCTGAGCCTCGTGGTAGAGTTTTCTATGCAGTCAATTGGGGTATTAGCATTTCTAACCAGTGTCTAGGCAATGCTTGTGCTGCCTGCGAGTCTGGACACCTCTCTTTGACAAACACCCCATTAGATGGTCCCTGAGATTCCTTCCATGTCCTCTGTCCTGTGACCTGAGTCTGCAGGCCTGCCATGGTGGCCCCTTTGCAGAGGGATATGGCTGTTCCGGATGCAGGGCTGGTCGTGTGCTCTGCCTCCTGGCTTGTCCCGCAAGCAACACAGCTTGGGAGGAGGAGAAACTGCTTCCTCACCTAGATACCATTTGCCAGACCCTTGTAACTACTGCCCTTAAGGACCATCTTTTGGAACACACGAGTGGCTTTGAATCCTCCACTTGATGGTCTGTGCTGCAATCGAGCATTTCCTGTTGCTAAAACCCAACGAGCTTCATGTGGCCAGTCCCGAGGGACCTGTGGGGGAGCGGAGCCTAGTGATTTTTGCAGAATGAAAAACAGAACGCTATAAATATTCCTGACAGGGGATTCATTTGCTTTATCTTTATTAGATTGCCCAGAAGGCAATAATTGGTCTTTGGCAAACAGCAACGTGGAGACTGGTTGTAAAATTCCTCTGGCAACACTTAAGATGCCTCATTTGAATAGAGCAGAACACTCTTTAGAGGTCAGTCTGGCTTCAAAGGCTCGTACATAGTTTTAACAGAGTGGACAGAGGATGGACTGGGACAGTATTTGAAGTCTTTTTTTCTCTCTCCTTTCCTGTCCAGGATGACAAGGATTTGGTGCATGAATTTGTAGTGGCTGAAGGTCTGACGTGTTTGATCAAGGTGGGAGCTGAGGCAGACCAGAACTATCAGAACTACATTCTGAGGGGTAAGTTCTGATGTTCCCACTGCAAGGGGGCCTGGCATTGCCTCCAGACACTTCGATGTTGAGAGCTTTTAAAAAGACTCGGATTACAGAGTTAGTAGTTAAAGATACCCCATAGCAAAAGATGATACTTCCTTCAGGATTTATCACTTCCTGGTAACTAATTAGTGACTGAGCGAGTGTTACTGATTTTTACCTAACATCTCTTCCCTGGTTACTAGGAAAAATCTCTTTCACACTAAGTTCTCGACAATCTCTTTGGTAAGGAAAGGAACAAATCTCTTTGGTAAGGGGGCCTGCATTTCAGCAGAAAGTCACCCAAAACCAAAGAGGCCAACTTACTTCCTGGGAACGCTAACTTGGGTTATTACTGAGAGTGCTTGTCAGCAGTACACATTCCTCACTGGGTTTTCCTGTTTGTGACTTGGTAGGTTTAGGGTGGGCCCAGAACTTGGATTTTAAGGAATGATTCTGAAAGCTACCTGTATAATTTTATTTTTTTTAAAGTTTATTTTGGGGGGGGGGTGGGACAGGAAGGGGAGAGAGGAAATTCCAAGTAAGCTTTGCGCTATCAGCGCAGAGCCCAACTCAGTGTTTGATCCCATGAACCACGAGATCATGACCTGAGCCAAAGATCAAAAGGCATTCAACTGACTGAGCCACTCAAGTGCCCCTCATTTTTTTAAAAGTGAGGTACATGTAGAGTTTGAAGCATTGATTCATGTTCCCATTCATAAAGTTAATGCTCTTTGGTTATAATATTTTTGTCCACCTTCACATAAATAATTTTATTTGATCCCATAAAAATGTGACAGGGGAGAGCAGGAATTACTAGGTTGGACTGTAAGAAATGATGGCTATCAACAGTTTTGACTGTAGGGCAAAGGAGAGATTTAATATAGTTCAGTATGATCTCCATTTTGCAACTGGAAGATTTGAGACTCAAAGATGTGGAGTAGTTGCCCAATGAAGTCCCTTTCTGTTGGGCACGGTCAAGCAGGGGCCGTGCCTGGGGGGATCATCTCGTCTCTTCTCCACATATACCTGCAACCCCACAGCTCTATCTCCCGTGTTCACAAAGGGGGAAAAATACCACTTTTCCTTTTCCCTTGGGTGAAGGAGAAGTATGTGAAACATGATTTAGTATCACATGTCCATGGTTAGGCTTGAATGAGACCAGCAAAGTGAAACCGTCTCCTGCAGTTCCGGTTGTGTTTTGCCCTGAGGAGAAGCCTCCTGTTCTGTGGTGTTACCCAGCACAGTGAACTGGGTCTTTCCCTCTTGGACCCTGTCTCTGGGGAGCCACAGCAGCAAAAAGTGAGAGAGAAAAAACTTAGGGCTCATTAAGAAAAAAAAATATTAAGGACGTATTTTCTTTTTTTTTTTCCCCCATGATATGCACTTTATTTTTATTTATTTATTTACAAATAGTTTATTGTCAAATTAGTTTCCACATAACACTCAGTGCTCATCCCCACAGTGCCCTCCTCCATGCCCCTCCCCCCTCCCCCCCACATCCATCAGTCCTCAGTTTTTGTCAGCATTCAAGAGTCTCTCATGGTTTGCCTCTCTCCCTTTCCCCCACCATTTCCCCCCTTCTTCTCCCCCTTGTTCCTCCATCAAGTTCCTCCTAATCCTCCTATACGTGCAAACATATGATATTTGTCCTTCTCTGCCTGACTTATTTCGCTCAGCATAACACCCTCAAGGTCCATCCATGTTGCTACACATGGCCAGATTTCATTGTTTCTCATTGCCATGTAGTATTCCATGGTATAGTTAAACCACATCTTCTTGATCCATTCATCTGTTGATGGACACTTAGGCTCTTTCCATGTTTTAGCTATTGTTGAGAGTGCTGCTATGAACATTGGGGTCCATGTGCTCCTATGCCTCAGCATTTCTGTATCCCTTGGGTCAATTCCTAGCAGTGCTATTGCTGGGTCATAGGGGAGTTCTATTGTTAGTTTTAAGGACGTATTTTCAAGGCAGCGCTAATGTTGTCTGTTCTTCTTGATAAATGCCAAATGTGTGTGAGAGCGTGTTCCTCAGCCTTCCACTTCTCCATGGTGCGTGGGAGGTTGGGGAGTCGCCTCTTTCCACCCACCTTCAATCTTTTTCTGGGTGTGAGGTTGATCCTCATGACGAGCTGTTAGTAGAGATGGCTTAAGGATGAATTTGATGATTTCTCTCCCCATAATGAAAACATGGAAACTTCTGGGATGTGTGTAGGCAAATGAACCACACACTTGGTCCCACTCTTGCCTCTCAATGTTGCCTCTCTTCTTTGTGTCTGAGGAGATTCTCATCCTTAGCTTTCGTTTCACATGAGTCCAACACCTAGAATGGGGGAAGGCACAGAGATAAGGGTAAGGGAAACTCCTTTAGTTTATTTTCCACCTGACTTATGGATGTTCGTAAGTTGAAACTTCTGGAAGGAAATAAACCTAAAATTACCTGATCTTGAAAAGTGAGTCCACACAGTAGGGTTTTTTGTTATGTTTAAAGTACACACACACACACACTCACACACACACACCTGTCTATAAAACTAATATTATAACCATCTATGGATTTAATTTCTTGTGACCCTTATATAGGAGTGTGTGTGTATATGTGTGTATTCTTATAGGGAAAACCATGAGCATAATTCTCCACATTGATCTACAGCCAAGTCTGAGTTGAGGAGGATGGCCCTATTAGCTGGAGTTAGCCCTTAGCAGAAAGGCCACATTTTTGTCAGAAGCTCCTTGCAGATGTCTCGCACAGGTTGGAGCTGGGTCATACCACCACCTGTAGCTGCAAGGGAGGCTGGCAGATGATTTGGCTTCCTGGACTCTTGGGGGTGGAGGTGGGGGCAACAAGGGAGAAAGGAGTGGCCGTAGGCCTGAGGGTTACCAGTGCTGGCCACACAGACTGAGTTAAGAGGAAAGATCTCAGCCCTCACTCCCTCCTAACTGAGGGCAGGGAAAACAGCGGCTGCACAAGGCCCCGGTGGTGAACTGTGTGAATTGTGTTGCCTGGTTGAGAAAGACGTTACTGACCTAGAATACTTCAGCAAGACTCTCTTCCTTAATGCTTTTCGTTAACCTGGCACTGGTTTATTAACTTGCAGTTTGCAGATCAGGAAGGTGCCAGAGTCAGTTCTCACATTTCTAAGAATCAGGATACCCAAACCCAACTAGGGGTGAGTCCTGTCAACCGTGTGCTGCTTCTCTGTGTAGAAAATGCCACCAAGGTCAAACCCTTGCTGCAGACCCCTCTTCCTAAAGTATGAGGAGGCTCCACCCTTTCACTGCCACCACCAGGGCCTTGCCTTCCGATTTTTCCTTTCCGGGTGTGTTTGTTTATTGAAGGCCTGAAGCTTCCCAGGTGTGCCCTGGAGAATGAACAAGTACTCATTCCATTCCAGGTTGCTACGAGATGTTCTGTTTTCCATGAAATGGAGGTGCCTTTGCCTGCCTGTGCCTCTTGAGCTAAGTCTCCGTAGACTCAGTGTGACCAGGGCACTGTGTGCAAACATCAGCACATTTTGATGTATCTGTCCAGAATCCGTGCCAGGAAGGTACCTTCTGAGGGATGTAAATGACAGATTTCTCAGGGTGTGACTTTTGTGTTTTTATATAAGGAAACTATCATTTTTCCTAGCCCGCATGCTGAGTCACCCCTTCCTGACTTTGAAGAACTTCTCTTGTAGATGGTGATCAGCTGCCGGCAGAACACCAGACATTTGCAGTCAAGGACAACCTTTGAATTGCCTCTTTGTTTAACCGCATTTCAACCATATTACCTTGGGTGAAGTATGGTGAGGCCAGATGCAGATGCAGGGAGAAAGTGCAGAGTGTTTTATAGTTTTGTAACTCACAGTTCCCTGAGAACATGGAGTGCCCCACAGAGGCCACGCAGGAGAAACATGGGGGTCAGTCATGAGGCAGGGGGAGAGGGCGAGGGTGAGCACCTTTGTTGCTGTTGCCTTGGGAAGAAGCTGGTAGGGTGGGGTAAGCTGGCTTACCCTGGAGCAGTTAGGGTAGAAGTGTCATGGCCTACACCATGAGAGCCCAACATGGCAGGTGGCAGGGGGTGTGCACTTCAGCTGCTCAAGAGCTGACCGCCCTCTACCCAGAGCCTCAGAACCGCATCAAAATCCTGGCAGGGAGGGTGTGCCTGCATGGTTACCTCAGGAGCTCTGCTCTGTGGGACCACGTGTGGGTCCCCCAGATCCAAAGGAAACAAGAGCATTTGGAGAACCCAGTGCTTTCCACATCTGCTTTTAGAACTCGATTAATTTATCTTTATTTTTGTGCTCAGCTGTCTGTCAGCCTTTTTTTTTTTTTTTTTCCCCAAAAGGCCCAGGAATGTGTTGCTTTTAGTAGCAGATGTATCTGCTGAGCAGTAAAGATAGGTTTTGAGTTATGGTGTAGCCAAGTGCTCTCCAAAAATGTGAGCCGGCTGCTGGGAAGAAGTCTAAATGCACAACATGCAGAAATAATATTTATCCGACTTATTATTCTTGGATGGTCTAAAGCTAATGATCTAAAGTTTTTCGTGATAGCCAGTATTTAATGTAAGTCTCCTGTGGACTTTTGTACCAAACAATTATTCTTATTAAACTAGGACCTCGAATGGTATATTCCTGGGAACTTTCTGCACACATCCTGTGCCTTCATTGGGGGCCCCTTTCCAGCCCTGGGAATGTGACGATGAAAGCAAGATACAGGCATGCCCTGGCCCCTTCACCTGTTGTATCTCGTACACCTTATCTATTTAGAAAGTATGTTTAGGTGATCAGCTTCGGGGCCGGGGGTGGGGGAAGAGAAAAGAGATGAGAAGAATCAGTGAGACCAGCTGCCTTTGCTGGCTGTACTTCAAGGAAAGCTGCCTCTTAAGGGCTAGTTTTACATGGAGAAATCTGATTTGATCCTATCACCTGGAAGAAAGTACCCACTAATCATAAAACACCGCTGTTGTTATCAGAGCCGGGTAAGGCCTTAGAACTCCTATAT